GTACTTTTATATATATATATATATATATGTGTATATATATAAAGGATGATACACCAAACTATGATAAAACTGCTTAAAATTAATATGTAAATATTGTTTAAACATCAGGTTTTGTGTCATATGTGCACACAATTTTAGACTTGATAGGATTTAACATATTTCATTTATTTAAATGATCAAATAAACAGTGGCTGAGGAAATGCACTGTATGTTAAATTTGCAAAGCTTGAATAGCACTATCAAATCCTGATCACATGATGAAAGCCAAGCTTAGGTAAAGTCACACACAACCGTTTGGTTTACAGTAGCTATGTTCTCTCTGTTTACTTAGACCAAATGTTTTTCCTGAATATGTGCGTGTATGCATGTTTGGCAGAGAGACAGCAGCTCCTGAAGCAGCTGTTTGAATTTTCAACCTCATCAAAGCTACAATAATTTACCATTCATCCACTAATTCAGTGGTTGCATGAATTGGCTGGATTTACACAGCTCCAAAAAAACCCCCACCTATCATAATTTAATGTGTGCACATATGCAGTTGTTTTTATTTTTGTTTAAATTGATTACATTTGGTAATGATTGTAAATACTATATCTGATATGGACATGATCAGGCCTTCTCTAGTTATACGTACTGCTGAGTATTAATGTCAGTTTCCCCACTTGATGCATACAAATAGTTTTTGTCCTCCACTACCAACATGTATTCAATTTACTATCAGAGACAACAAAAAAAGAGGGAAAGCACCGGATTATAAATTTTAATTAATTAAATAATTCGTGCTGACCCTCTTCGAAATACAGAACGTGGTTTGGCAGCACATACCAGTTCTGAAGGTATATCCAGAACCCTCTTCTAACAGTTTGGATAAAGAAAAATTACAGTGTGGTGCCCATCACACACACACACACACACACACACACACACACACACACACACAAAAAGTAATACACTTTTTCTATACCTAATTTAAAGATGGTGACTTGGGCAAAACTTGACAAGATGTGAATCACAATATTTACACAGTGGACCATTTGTGTTTGCCAAGTAAGCGCTGGGTAAAAGTAACAGTAGGTTATTTGTGAGTGTTTCAGCTTCATTGACACTGACTGTGAAATTATAGATAGTAAATATAAAGACAAATACAACTGATAAAAATGTTGTCTCCCTTTGTCAATTAACATTTATCACATATTTCATACAATCATCTCTGTAGACCCCAAATTGTGTGGATGCTGAGTCAGCATTGCAAGATTGTGCGTAGAAGAAAGATCCGGGTACTGAAGTGGCCATATAAAACACCTGCTACCTTCACATCACAACTGGAATACCTCCAGATAATGCAAGGGTGATGCATGATTCACACTGATAAAATGTAAAACAATGCCCTAAACAGGGCAGGGCTAGTACTATTGATTAAGCACATTAACGGTCATAGCCGGGAGAGTTCATCTCCCCCGTCAAAACCACCAGTGCCACAAGGAGCCCCCTCAGAAAACCCCCACCACGGCACCAAGGAGACCTCCTCCTCCAAAGAAGACCGACCCATCCAGCCCAAGTGATCTCAAGCCTCCACCTGCTCTAAAAGAAGCCCAGGACGTTCCCAAGGCTGGACCAGCACCGCTCAGCAGACCCCCACCCCCTAAACCCAAAGGGTCTGTTCAGACAACAAAGAGAAGGAATAGTCCAAAGTTAATAAAGCCCCCATTCCTCCCAAGCCCCAGTTAAAGAGTGAAAGTATGTAAAAATGTAAGAGAAGAAGTCGAGGGCTGGATCCCCTCAAACGAAACCTTAGTGCGAGTCTGCTCTTCAAACCATCACTTTAGGATTAAATAGATAAAGGACAAAGGATTAAAATGAACAAATTAGCACTACTTTGTAGCTAATTAGCTTTTCTTATGCCTTATCTTTAAGGATATTTTAAACTGAACCAGCAATAACACATGACCTTACGGGTCTTGTAATGTTTACTTGTTTTTATCTAAATATTACACAAAATATTAGGTAAAGTTACGTGTTTTTGTTGCCATATGCTAGTTGTAGCCTGTAAATATAGTTCGGTAAAACCTTTGACTAAAGGTCTAAAACCAACATCAAAGTAGAATAAACTATATGTTCAAATCTAGCCAGTCATTCCTGAGCAGTAGAGAAAAAAATGATCCTAAATCCTTTAAACAAATACTGCACATGGACTCACTGGGGGAGTTCAGTGACTACATGTGGGCTTTCTAAGTTCTATTAGGAATTACTAAAAGATGTCTGCCAAGTAGAAATTCTGTTTTATACTCTAAGCATACAAGCCTTTGTGTTACTGTAAAGTTTTCTTTTTTGACTGCATAATTCACGCTACAATTACTTGTAACAGATGTGCACTTTTTCAAGTCATTTTAGATGAGGTAAGTTTAAGGTTAACACATGAGAGAGAGGTTCCCTGACTGTACTGCACTCCAAAGAGACTGGAGAATAATGAAAGTGAACTCAAATTGAACCAAAGTTTGACATAATGTCTGTCTGGCTGCCAGGGAAAGATTTTATACTGTGAAAATGTTCAGTGGTACATTTGCTGTTTGCTGAAAGGAAAACTACTGTAGCTGTTTACTTATAGTCATTATGGGTAGCTCATAGCACAGGTTGGTATCAATATGGAAGTACCTAAACACTTGGTGATGGTTTACAGGTGAGAACAGTTCAGATTTAAAGCCTTTTATGGAAACCCACAGTGTTCAATAATAATACATAAAAACATTGAAATTGAACTGTTAAATATCGGACAACTCACACCGAACTACCTTTCTCCAATCTTGTGGACGAAGAATGCTGTATGGACATTCTGATCGGAAGGCGCAGCTGCAATATACGGGACCTGGAAAAAACGTGACTCCCCTCCTGCCTGAAAGTGTGTGCTGATCAGCTGGCCCCCATCTTCGCACTCATCTTCAACAGGTCACTGGAGCTGTGTGACGTCCCCTCCTGCTTCAAACGCTCCACCATCATCCCAGTTGCCAAGAAACCCTCCATCAGTGGACTGAATGACTACAGACTTGTCACCCTGACATCTGTAGTTATGAAGTCTTTTGAAAGACTGATGTTGGCCCACCTGAAGGACATCGTAGATCCCCCTGCTGGACCCCCTGCAGTTTGCCTACCGGGCAAACAAGTCAGTGGACGATGCAGTGAACATGGCAATGCATTA